TACCACAAATTGAAGAACCAGGTCTAATAAGAACTACATGGTCTACATATGACGGGCCATAGGAAAGTAACTTCATATACGTGGTAAGATTCAACCACCTCAGGTCCTCATCCATCAATATAAAGGAGGTCTCTTCTGTGTTAAATTATAGTATTTCTTTTTTCTTATCACACGCAGCTAATGTGTTATTCGATGTCCAATTTTTTTTTGCTCACTTTCAAGTTTGAAAGAATCTGGTTCTTGGCCCGCCTAATTTGGTGTAAAAACGCTGAGAGATTTAAAACAAGGGAGAAGAATTTTTAGGACTAAATCGATTTTGTTATGGGCCTTATGGCCCATTTTCCAGTACGATTCACAACAGTGCTCCAGCAAGAGACTGCACTCCGCCCAAGTATAAATAGAAAACTTGTCTACTATATTTTTAAACGAGTTTAAAAAATTATTTATATTCTATCTGTTAAAAAAACGAGCCGAACTCAAAATGAACTGAACCCAAACCGAGCCAAGTTCAAGTAGGTCGGCTTGATTATCAGTCCTAGGTGCCACATTAATTGATAAAAAATCAATAAGCATTGTTATTGTCATGTTTTTTTTTTTTTGGTTGCATAGTCTTTTGCAGTTTCTTGCCTCCATTTTTTCAACCTGCAAGCACAACCTTACTTTTTTCTTGGTAAACAAGCACAACCTAGAACTTAGTAATTGACCTAATGACTGCTATTCACGTTAAATTTAAAGTCACGAATTCCAATGTGATTGTCACTCTAACTTGTACTAGTAAAAGTAAGCACAGCCTAACTTGATAGTCTAGATTTAAAATAGGGTTAATTACACATGAAGTCTTCGGAGTATGAAATTTATCTTATTTTAATTTTTAATATTTTAATTGTATTATTTTTATTTCTAAAGTATTAAATATATTTCTATATGATCCCTCAAATAGATAACGTTCAGATTGCTAATGATTTTTAATCATAAATTTGTCACATAATATCTAAATATGAACAAAATTTAATAACTCTTAAATAAATTTTGGGTAGCTCTTGAAAAAAATATGTAATGTGGGTAATTGTGACCAAAATTGAAATAGCTCTTGATCAAAACTACGTAATTTGGATAATTATTTAACCAAAATTGGCGTAAAAATTTAGTTAAGAATTATCTAAATTATTTTTTTGACTATATTTAAGTATCACATAATAAGTTTATGATAAAAAATTATTAATAATCTGGGCAATGTTTACTTGATGGATCATATAGAAATATATTCAATACTTAAGAAACCAAAATAATATAATTAATAAAATTTTAAAGACCAAAATAAGACATATATCATACTTTGACCTCTCACCTCTCATTCAATTAACCCTTTAAAATAATTTCGGCCATTGTGATATTGATCACTTTTACAGCAATGAAAAAGCCCAGCGGAAAGTTGTTACCATAAATAGACTCGAGGGTTAATTGTAAGTTGTACTCCGAAAAGATCGTTTAAATTTTAATTTAAACTTTCAAAGATTAAAAATTTTAATTTACACTTTTAAAGATAAAAATTTGTATCAATATGCACCCCCAAAGATAAAAAATCTCAATTTGCACCTTCAAAGATAGAAATTTGTATCAATGTGCACCCTTAAAAATAAAAAATCTCAATTTTTACCTTCAAAGATAGAAATTTGTATCAATATGTACCTAAAACTAAATTGATAAATTATATCTAAATCCCCTCATGCTTGTCATTTAATCATTTAAACCCCTTCACATTTAGAATATTACTCTTACATCTCATGACGTTTGCGCACAGATAATACATAACCCCTTTTCGTTGATATCTGTTAATATAACTATTAAAAAAAATAATTTTATTCTAATAAAAAATTATAATTTCATATTACCTTTTTTTGGGGGTCCGAGTTACTCTAAAATTCAAAATCAAGTTCACTATTTGAATTTCTAATAGAATGTAGATATTTATATATTTTTATATCCAATGCAATATATCATTAAATGTGAAACTCTTTATTCTATTAGACATTCAAATGATAAAGTTTGATTTTGAACTTTAAAATATATTGAACCCATAAAATAAATGATAATATGAAATTATAATTTTTTATTAGGATAAAATCATATTTTTTAAAAGTTATATTAACAGATATTAACGAAAAGGGATTACGTGTTACATATGCACAAACGTCATGATATGTAGGAGTAGTATTCTAAATGTGAAGGGGTTCAAATGATTAAGTGACAAGCATAAGGGGATCTAGGTATAATTTATCAATTTAATTTTAAGTGCACATTGATACAAATTTCTATATTTGAGGGTGTAAATTGAGATTTTTTATCTTTGAGGGTACACATTGATACAAATTTCTATTTTTGATGATACAAATTGAGATTTTTTATTTTTGGGGGTGTATATTGATACAAATCTTTATTTTTAACAATGTAAATTAAAATTTTGAATTTTTAAGGGTATAAATTAAAATTCGAACCCAATCCGAAATGCTCAGAAAGATAGAGACATGAGGCAAGCAAATTCGCAATCCTGACAAAGACAGTTTTGTGGTAGGTGAAAGTCATTTACTATTGGTTAAAGAAAGAAAAAACTGAGTTCCCTTTACGTTTTTGCAAATTATTAGCTGCCAGTCGTAGTAAATCTGCCTGCTGTGATGCAGGTACAGTGGGCCACGCAACAAATGCACTTCAATTTACTCGAGCTCAAACTTATGTCATGCATGCATGTATGTAGATGATCTAATGCCATCCAGTCATGCAATAATTCCATAACATGGATCCAGGTATGTGGTAGTGAGTTCACATGCTCGATCTGTAAAGAGAAATATATATAGGAATGAGTAGTGCATACAGGCTTCCTGCTTAGTAGGCCTTCGTTTTAGTGGCCTCGGATTCTTCCTTCCATCATCAGATGCTAGTTTATTTCATAACATGAGCAATGTGGATTGGTCCAAACAAACTCCAAATGTTGATCTAAGAGAACTTCTTGTTCATCTCTGTAAGAGGTTTTTTGATTGACACATGATGTGCATGATTGTATGGTATTTACAGGTTTATATTGTAATTGCAAATAAAATAATAATATGTAATTGAGATGGTTCTCGTTTTTTTTGGAAAAAAAAATCGTTTAATTATAAAAATGTTAATTCAATAATATGCCTATAGCTTGGCTTGAGCCAGGTTATTCTTCTTCTTATTGGTATGGGTTTAAAGAAAAAAAAGGAAAAAGTCGGTTTTTAAGACTAATTCATACAAAAAAATGTTAAATAAGCTTGAAAAATTGATTTAAAATCTTGAGTCGATGAATTACTACCATCATAAAAAAGAGAGAGGCTTTAGAGTCTTGGACACACTTGCATGCAATGACATGGGAAGATGGGTCCAAAGCTAGCTCAACCTATTCGATGTGGCCTTATTTTTATAGATTGAAGTCTAAAGGACCCAAAATGCCCACACGGATGAGCTACACTCTTTTTCCTTGGACATGAGTAAAGGGTTTTTTTTTTTTTTTTTCATTCTATAAAATATTATACTTACTAAATTTTTTTATCAAAATTTTCATTTCAAATGATGTGACAAAATCTCCGTCATTTAATATTAATGAGATCTACTTAATTTGATAATGAAAAATTGTGTCATATCATTTAAAATGATAATTTAATAAAAAAATTTAATAAATATAACATTAACCATAAATTAATTCTAAAAAAGATCGATCATTCAAGTCTGGAACAGAATTTAAGTTAATTTACACATAGTTCGACTAATCTCTTTATCGGTTTAGTTAAAGACAAATTATTCACATAAAAATTAGAATATTTATAAGGGATAAATTTCTAATAATCTGATATTAAGAAGTTTCTAAGTTTCAAACTTAAAATGTCTAAGTTTATAACTTGTACCGTTACCAATGAACGTAAATTTCATTTAAAACAATGGACATTTGACGGAAACAAGCACGTAAAGTAGCACATAGTGGACGAGCTATCTATTTATTTATTCACTAGACCAACATTACATTGAAATCGTGAAGCAAGAGACATGAAATGAAACACAAGAAAACTAGTAGTCTGAGACTCTGAAAACAACGCACAACTAACTGCAAGATGAGTGAACATAGCCATAACTTCAAGGATAAGGAAGGACACCAGTGCCAGTGCCACCACCAGCACCACCACCAGCACCGCCACCAAGACCACCGAGACCACCAAGACCACCCAGAGTTCCTAAGCCACCAGCACCACCCAAGCCGCCAGGAAACCCAACTCCACCAATGCCTCCACCGCCACCAACTCCGCTCCCTATTCCGCCAAAAGGCAGGCCATTACCGCCGATGCCGCTGAAGCCTCCTACACCACCGAAGGAGCCAAAGTTCTTCTGATCACTGAGACCCTTGTCACTGGGCACATCTCTAGCTGTAGTGTGGACCACAGCAAGAGCAACAAGAAACATGACATACCACCTTGCCATCTCTCTCTTTCTTTCGTTTTCTATCTCTAACTCTTCTCCTATGTTGACACCTGATTGAGTATCGTGAATCTCCTTTTTAAAGGCAAAATGGGGAAGTAGGGTGCAGTTGGAGGTATTTAATGGAATTGAATGAGATCATTTCATTGCTTTGCCTCTCTCAATAATTAAGAACCCGAGTCTATTGGGTCATGGATCCAACTGTTTCTTGCTGGATCCAAAAGCCATTAAACACAGTTTTATTTTTTGGGTAATAGGAGAAATCTCTTGTCCAGTGAATTAAAGTGCACTTATATCGCTTAAGTTCGTGAATTTGAGTAGAATCGAGGATAAATATTGGGTATATAAATCGGTCTTTCAATCTATACAACAATTAAATAAGAACTTGTATTTCGGCGGGAATTTGAACTTACATTAGAGATTTAGAATGTGTTTGTGATGACATATTGAATTCAAAAGTAATTCTTAAATAATTATTTTTTAAAAACACTTTATTAAAAAATACCTTTTTTCATCAGCATCATTTGGATGTTAATTAAAAAAAGTACTCAAATAAAAATAATTTTACAAAAATTGTATTTGGGTGGTCAATTAAAAAAGTATTTATTTGTATCATAATTACAAATATGCCCTTCATGATCAAATATATATATGTGTGTGTTTGCATATATTTTATTAAAAATGTCAATGGTTATCCCGTAATACATTTTTAGTGGTAATTTATCAAATATTTACATAAATTCACAAAAATGAAAAGGTAATCATGAGATACTAGTGACCATACTCCAACACTTTCACACTATTCTCCGCTGTTTTACAACACACGAAAACTAACAGCCCCAAGCATAAAAAAAAATTCATAGCACATGTAAGTCATTTTATCAAATAGATAGTGGACATTCTATCAAATTGTCCAATTTTGCTAAAAATTAAATGTGATAAAGAGTAATGAATTATGGAAATAAAATTAACAAATGGCTATAGTCTAACAGGTATTATTAATAAAGGAATTTTACTGATAAGTTTAGGGTAACAAATTATTCATGATCAACATATGAAATTCAAATCAGATTGACAATTAAACAAGCTTATATAGTTGAACATGCAAGAGAGAGAAAATGGAGACGTACTGACTTGAATTTTGGAACAATCAAGACGTTTCTACATATTTTCAAGCTGAACAACATCTTGATCTGTGCACTTCCAGATTCAAAGATATCAGTGAAGGAAATGAGTCACATAAGAGATGCAGTACTTACAACATCAAAAATTGCAATCAATACAAAATATTTTATTTTCATTCTTTGGAAGATCAATGTGATGAGCACAAGCATCAAAGAACTTGTTGTGCAATAAATTGCTTAGCCACTCTGATTTTCTGTTATTCATCGATAGGGTGAGACCAACTATTTGAATTATGAATTATGGAAGCAATGAATTACTTCCAGACTATTCAAGCTCTTCTCTTGCTTCTACCTCCACTTCCTTTTTAATTTCTTTGTATTCTCGTTGTTGACGTCAAGGTTGGCATCCGAAGCTTCACCTTTACTAGCAGATTGGTGATGGTCATAGAGGTGATCAGGGAAGTGAGGAGAAAATAAGAAATAATTTTTTAAATTAAAAATTAATTATTTTTACTTTTTTTTATTAACTTATTTAAGTGTTAAAATTATTTTTACTCATTTAAAAGTGTTTTTAATAAGTTAAGCCAAACATTACTTTTTTTTTTAAGTAATGCTAAATACACTCTTAATTGTTTGTACAAATAATTGAAGTTCAATCTACCAATTAATTACGCTTTTATCACTCAATAACAAATGAAATTTTGATTTCAAAAAGATGAATTATTCACAACTCACGAGATAAAGTGTATGATTGGTTCGAAAATCCGTTGATGTTTTACAAATAGGTTGATGATCAGCTGAATGATTTGATGGCAACATAAATATAGACAAATTAGTATTTATTTCCGCATGCAAATGCCGGTAACGAAGACCAATTATTGCTTCACATGGGCCACGGCAATGCAAGTAACTTCAACTAGTGTGTGTCTCTGTGCAGAGACAGGGATCTGGACTTGGCAGCAGGTACCCTGAGGATGCTGTACAATGCACGGTCTGTGTGGATGGTGGGGAAGTAAATGCGGTGTCAGCTGGCTAGCTGGCTGTTGGTAAATTTCATTAATCCTTTGGTTGTAATGCTAACTCGTTGATTTAGGTAAATTGCGGGAAGCATTAATACAGTATCCAAAGGTTATTTTTAAGCATCATATAAAAAATTATTTAATTAATTTTAATTTTCTAACCAACATTGTTTAATGCAATCCCGGGTAATGTCATGTAATGTATATGATCCTGATCAATGTCATACATTACGGCATGTTTGCTTCCGGGATATGGGTGGTATAAAAAGTTGGTAATAGGAAAATAATATGTGGAATTCATTTTATACTTTATTTATTTGATATTTTTCGTTCGGTATTATTTTTTGAGTCGTCGTATAGACCCGATGTGAAGAGTGATTTTAATATCTTCTATATTGTACTAAGCAATACCACTTACCAGGTGATATTATCTTCCTTGTACAAGTGAAAAGGCGGTATAAACGAGTAAAATGACACAAATGCCCCTCTTATGTAAAGAGTTCACATATAAAAAATTTATATTGAATTTTTTTATTATATTATATTTAGGCATATGATGTCACCATTTTTTTTTTTTTTTAATTTTTTTAAAAAAAAATTATTTTAAAATTTTTCTTTATATTATGTTTAAGTGTACGGTATTACTATTTTAAAAAAAAAAATTTAAAAATTTTTTTGAATTTTTTTTTGTATTATGTTTTAGCGTACGGTGTTACAGATTTTTTTTTAAAAAAAAAATATTTTGAATTTTTTCCTTGTATAGATGATTAAGGGTAAAATGGAATGAAAGATATTAAGGGTAAAATGATATATTTGTTATATAAGATGTGATAGAATAAATGGTTATTTGTAGAACCCATTATAATACCTATTAAACAAACAAACAAGGGAAAGAAAGAGATACAAGTTTAAGACCGGGTATAATATACTATTGAATAGGAGTAAAATAAAAATAATTTTTAATACCGCCCAAATTTAATACGGCAAACAAACATGCCTTACATGACATGCGTGTACTATAGGCAACTCGGTGGCCAAACTTTTCTTCGTTTAATCTGGAGTGGGTCAAACACATTGTTGAAATTTTAACTCCCTAATTTTGGAAGAGAGTTTGGTAGTGTTTGATAAAATTAAAAATTGAAATCTGAAAATTGAAAGTTGAATCATGAATTTGTGGACTGTTTGACATTCATTGAAATTTAAGTACTGAATTGAACTAAACTATTTGATAACTATACAGGGCTGACGTTTGAAAATAAATTAATTTTTAGTTTTACCCTTCCACTCTTTAATTTAAAAATATTTATAAAATATGTTATAATATAAATCATAATCACTATTATTATATTGTAATCTACATTTAACAAATATTTGATTAAAATAAATAAATAAATAACATTTGAATAACACAATAATTGAACAATAACAAATTAAATAACATAATAAGTGAACAATAACATCCAATAAAAAAAATAGCAATAACTAATAAATAATCAAATAATATTAAAAAATATAATAAATTAGATTTCATTAACAATATGCGTGTGTTTGTGTATGCAGTCCATGTGTGTAAGTATGTGTGTGTGCAGTGCTTGTTTTTGTGTGTGTAATTATAATTATGCATGTATATTTTTGTTATAGAAGACAAGAAAAGAAAAAAAAAAAAGAGATTGACAAAGAGAATATATAGGTTTGGAGTTTTGGAGAGAAGACTAATTAGGGTTTTAATAGAATTGTAAAATATTTCAGGGTATAAGTATCAAATTGTAAATATTATTAAAGATGATTTTGCTGAGTTCTTTTGGCTTTTAGAATTAAGTAAGGAATCTTATAGTTAATATTGTAACCTATTTTTAAAGAGCACTTAACATATTAAGATAGTTTAAATTTTAATTATCAAACGAACTTAATTAATAAGTGTTAAATATATTCATTTTAAGTATAGAATTTGGGTTAACAAACACACCCTTTATTGAGTAATTAATGTAAGCATCCTATATAAAATAAAAAAAATATTGGACGAGTTCTAATATATTTTGAGTAGGTTTATTACTTACCAAATAAATTAAAATAATCCTAATATATAGTAAATAGGTATATTAGAGATAGAGTAAATATTGAGATCAAATTGTATCTTGATATATTTGAATTACAGTATTTTACTCTTATAAATAGGGATATAGGTGAATATGATGTAATTAATGTTTATTACCAATTTTTGAGTGAATAATACATCAATGTAGATTTTTGATCCATAAATATAAGTACAATGTACCAAGGTAGATACGTTGTATCAAAACATACTATATCTTTGTGTTTTAATTGTTTTTCCTATGTTAAATTCTTATCCTCTGACTTATGGTATCATATCCGTCGTGCAAAACCAACAAACACATCTGTGTCACTTGGATCGAAACTAAGTGGTTAAATTCTGGTTATAATCAAGCACATGAACAAGAAATTGTTTGAGGAAATCCAGTCTCTTTGTAATTAGTTCTTATAATTAGCTAGCTTTCCTTCAGTGGGTGTCTTCAAACCCTTTTTCCATGGGAAGAATGGATCAGCCTTTTTTTTATTTAATTTTTGGTTATCTACCGTTAATTCAATTTAAACGTATTCCTAATTTCGAAACTTGACAATCACTTGGGATAGTCAAGAGCAATTTATTCCTCATGAACATCATAATCTCGCGTGCATGACCTGCCTTTGACTGAATCGAAGAGGGAATTAGTCTAATTTGACCCAGATACCCTTACCATTGAATAAAAACAAAATGAACAGAGATATCCATTGAACCATCATTAATTTACCAAATATATTTTCAGTTCCTATTATTTCGCTTCCATATATAGACAATCCTATTCATAATACATAATATGCTCGTTTGGTAAACGTATTATGATGAGATTAAATATTTGATTGTATTATTTTTTATTTAATAGGGTCTAATACTTTATTTGGTAAATAAATTTGATACCGTATTAATTTCAAAAATGTATACTAATCGTATATTTATTGTATAATTTTTATACGATAAATCTGTATTATTAGAGGTATTTTAATACTACTAAAAGAGGTGATATTATAATCCAACTCAAACGTATTATTATACACATTTACTATTGTACCCCTCTAACTGATAAAATCTAATTGTCATCAATGTAACAAACACTGATTGAAGATATTTTTGTTAATTTAATATTAATACTATGAAATAACGTCCTAATCAAATAATGGATTGAATTAAATAATTACTATTCAACGCTTATATTGTGTATTAACAAACACTAGATAAAATTATGTATTATTCTAATACTCTATTTAATCTTGTCTTTTATCTATATGTATTGTATTAAACTGTATTACTTTATCCAATCCATTCACTTATAATACGGCAATCAAACGAGTCCAATATTGTCAGAGATTAGTTATGGTAACCTAATCTCTCTCTCATCTCTTAACACGTTCACTGCAATTAAATGATATAAAGATATAAATCCAGAACAATATAACAAAATTTAATTATAAGTACACAGGTTTCAAGTTCACAGCTTCGTAATTCCAACAAAACAACCAAGCCTTATCAAAATGGCTACCAAGAACATCTCTCCCCTTACTGCAAGTTTGTTCATTGGGTTTCTCTGCGTAGCTCTACTCTTGAGTTCAGGTAAAAAGCCCATTCTACCATCTGTTATATGCATGTCTATGGCTCTCTGTAGTTATCTTCGAGTCAACCACTAGTCGAGTGAGATTCGTTGTTTACGTATAAAGTATATTAATTTTTTATTTCTTTTCTCTCACAGGTCAAGCAGAGGAAAGAATCTGGTTCGTCTGTCAGGGGACATGCTCAAAATTTCAGGACTGCAATCAAGCTTGCAAGGCCAAAGGATATCCTGATGGTGGCAAATGAATGCCCCCTGGCAAGGGATCACCTCTTGCTTGCTGCTGCACAATTACCTAATTTATGCTTACTTTTCAACATGGGTTTCATGGCTTTCAGCGCTCATTTGTGATCTTCCATAAATAAAGTAAAAATATCCCAAAAATTATTTGGTATTGAAGTAACTTTGCTTCTCTCGAGTTTTTTACAATGTTAAAATTTGTGATCCGATTGAATCCAATTGATCACAAAAGTTTGATGTTATTGGGCCATGATATGCATACTCATAATCATTGAACTCAGGACGTTATTGGTTTGTAAGATTATATATTATTTTTATATAAGAGTAACTTAAGTGGTAATAAGGATGAGCTGTAAATCTAAACGTCCTGAATTTATATTTTGACAACCTTTTAGAGGCAGATCATGAAGAATTTATCTTTCATGAATACCCTAGTTTCGATATGAATAGTTTGTTTTTTACCGAATCGAATAAAGAATTAATTGAAACGCGTATAAATTGACTCAAATACACTAATCGTTAAACTTAAAAAAAAAAGAAAAAGAGAAGGGACAGATCCTCATCTTCATGCACCGAAGCTTGAGAAGAAAGTAATATAGGAAAGAAATTGATAGCTATGTCATTATAAATTGTAATGGACTAATGTGATACATGGGATTTATATACCCATTTCATCCAACAACACCCCCCCTCCCCAAACAAAAAACAACAACAACAAAAAAAATTCTTAGTTTCTCTAGTAGTGTTAGAGAAAGAATATGAGAGAAAGATGAGAAGGAAAAAAAGAATAGGAGGGTTGAGTGAGAAGTTGGAGAGAGAGAGAGAGAGACATGAGAGATAATGGAGGCCATTATATTGGCAATGTGGGGGAGTGAGAGAAGGGTTATGTGAACATTAGCGACAACTTGTGTGATAGATTGAATTTAGATCCTCACCTTATCCTACGATCTCTAATCAATTTGAGTCTCAACCTTTTTAATTTGTTTAATAGTATTCGAGAAAGTAGAGAATATAAAGATGAGTAGTTAACAAAAAAAGTAAGAACATGAATTAGGAGTGAGAGATTGTGGAGTTATTAAATGGAAGAAAGTTTAATAAAGAATCAAGCATAGGAGAATTAAAGTTTGTATAGTTTGTTAGGGCATGTCTAGTGATATTACACTTGGTATATTATTATCAAAATTTTATCTAAATAGCAAAATTCTATTACACGCTATTCATCAATTTAAATTTTGACACATTTCATCATTCAATCGTATCGTCCAAATATAAGAAAAATTCAGCTTTTAAGAACGGGCCTGTCCATAAAGCTTTGTCAGAAAGCCCAAGTAATTGACATCAATAAATGGGAAAATGTAATCATGGGGGGCAATAAATGCAAAATTTTAACGCAAATAGAAATAGCTCAAGTCCAAAATTTGTTCATTCCATCACCAAAGCCTTGACAGAATGAACATCACTCTCATTGCTACGTGCTTTATCATATGCCGCCCAACACTATGAAAAAAATACATGGGTTTTAAGCCCTAAATTTTAAGTATATTATTAGCTTACAAAAAAATTTAAATTCATTGAATTTTAAGTCTTATAAAAAAGTCCCAAAAAAAATTAAATTTAATTAAAATTTTTATTGCAATAATTTAGGCATATAATTCAATCCATCATATTAAAAATTTAGAAATTAAAAAAATAAAAAATATTAAAAAGTCAACTCATATTTACTCTCTCTCTCTGTGGTAAAAAAAAAATTAAAAAATTAAAATTAAATACTCTTTTTCCTTTATGTGGTGAAAAACAAAAATAAAAATTGAAATATCTTTCTCAATAATATTAACACATATTTCTTTTGTCTCCCTCTCACATAAAAAAAGTAAAAATAAATTATTTTTTTAAAAAATTAATACTAAAATTAAAAAGGCCTCCATTTAATATTTTTGCTTTTAAGTCTTAAATTGTCTTGAGCCGCCGTGGCCTACCTTTGCCCTCTAGTCCAGGGAAAAAGTTCATCCTCGATAACCCTATATACATATCTATTGTGATTTAAGTATGATAATATCAATATAATTCACCTAAGTTATATGATAGCTTTTATTTCGAGTCCATAAACCAAGAGTTTCACTCTGCTCGTGATTGACTCATACTGTCGTACATGTCTCTAATGCTTTATTTGGTAGAAAGGATAAAAAAGTAGGAAAGATGGAAAGTAAGAAGTGTAAATTTTCTATCATTCAAGAAATGAAAGTAAGAATGATACATTTTTCTTCTTTTGTATTTGGTTGGATGGATGAAAAATAAAAATGACTAATTTTTTTTTTGTGCTGGCTAAGATCAGGGGTGAAAATCAAGTCGTGTCGTATCAGATTCGTGTTGAGTCATTACCGATTTGTGTCGAACATTAATCATACCTAGCTCAATTCATTTAACTAATTATGTTGTATCGAGTTGCGAGTTGACTTGTTTATTTTGAGTTTATTTGATTGAACTGAATATGAGTCTTTTATATTTCTTATTCGCATGTCAGGTCATTTTCAAGTTCGTGTCGAGTTATAATCAAGTTCGTGTTATAAAATTCGTGTTGAGTTCGAGCCATATTATCGTATTGAGTCAAAAATTTTCATCCCTAATTAAGATGAAAAACATATTTTTTTTAATTTAAAATTTTTATTTAAAATTTTTTTTAATAAATATACATACAAATTTTATCATTTTATTTTTATATGAAATTAATGTATACATAATATATGCATATATTAAAAGATATATAGACAAATAAGATACATCTCAACACAAATAATTAACTTTTCATCCACTTTCTTTCCGATTTTGGAAAGTTGGAAGGAAAATTAATTTATTCACTTTTGCATCCTTCCTATTTTTCTTCCTTACCAAACATGATATTTTATTTATCCCTTTAACTTTTCATCATTCCAACTTTTCATCCTTCCATTTTTTCATCATACCAAACAGAGAATAATACATTCCCGCAAACCATTTTATTTATGAACCATAATTAATACTGTATTAATTTACCAAATACTCCCCCGTTCTTATATATTTTTCGTTTAAAGTTTTTGCACAGAGATTAAAGAAATTATTAAATATCTGTAATATGAGTAAAAAATAATTACACAAGACTAAAATACCCTTATTCAATACGTATTAGAAAGGAAAAGAAAATATGAAAGACACTTAGCCTCTACCTAATTTTATGCATTAAAAAGTTAAGGGTAATTTTGAAAGAAAAAATATTAATCTGTGTAAAACGACAGATATTTAAGAACGGAAAAAATATTTTTTTAATTCCCATTATTTCGCTTCCATATATATAGATATAATCCCATCCATAATAAATAATATTCTGTAAGAGATTAGTTTTGGTAACCTAACCTCTCTCATCTCTTAACACGTTCACTGCAATTAAATGATATAAAAATATAAATCCAGAACAATAATGCAAAATTTAATTATAAATACACAGGTTTCTAGTTCACAGCATAGTAATTCCAACAAAACAACCAAGCCTTATCAAAATGGCCACCAAGAACATCTCTCCCATTACTGCAAGCTTGTTCATTGTATGTCTCTGCGCAGCTCTGCTCTCGAGTTCAGGTAAAAAGTCTATTCTACAACATTTTATATACATGTCTAATGTGTTTCTCTAATTATCTTCGAGTCAACCACTTCTTCTTTCCCGCCCCCCCCCCCCCCTTCATCAAGTTCAACTATGATAATAAAAACTTGAATATAAAAATCTAATTAATATTTTTGTATTTTAAAAATTAAAAAATAAATTTATTATTAAATATTAAAATTTTTTCATTTATTGTTTATGTTTTAAACCTTAAAATGTCGGGGGCGGTCCTTGGGTTCAATTTTTCAAGCTATGTAAATAACTTAAGATGTAATTACAGGACAAGCAACTCCAGAAGAGGGCCGAGAGAGAATTAAAGAGGCTATCTGCAGAGGGACTTGTTCAGCATACAAAGAGTGCAACCAAGCTTGTATTGCTAGGGGGTATCATGGAGGTGCCTGTTTGGGATTTCGGGGGACTCCTTTTTCTTGCTGCTGTTTTACAAATCGATTGAGCATGCCTTAAGAAAACAACTCTGGCCTTTCCTTTTTAACTTCTGAACTTTGTCATGTGCCGTGAGTTAATGTAAGAACATCAAAATGTTCAGGAACTAAGTGTTGCTGCTGGTTTTTTCAGATTAGTTGTTGTGCCCTGCGTGAATCATCCCTTGAACGATGCAAACTTAAAAAATATATATCTAATACAAGGATAATATCACTTCACCATTAACATTTGGTATCACAATTCAATAGTAAAACACCACTTAAGCATGATACATCTCCTATATCTATACCCAACATAAATTTTTTTTGATATCAAACGTAATCCAATAACGTGTAGATATAAGATATGCATAAGTGATCTTCGGTTATTATTCGCAATACTACTTGCCAATAATAATGTAATATTTACACGTTAGTGTGTGATTGACAAATTCTAGTGTGGTGTGTGAGTAATGCTATAATTTGATGTCCATATGGACCAACCCAATTGCAATAATTTTTTTTTTTTTTGTTCAACGGTCAAGTGTGTGCAGACTAATTTACGTATATCTCGACTAATCTTTTTTCCGATTCGGTTAAAAGTAGATCATCAAATACGGGACTAGAGTATTCATAAAAAATATCTCATGGTCTGATCCTAAAGAATTATCAAAATTCAAAATCAGGATGTCTAGATTTATAGCTTAGCCTTGTTACAACTTGAACTATTCCTTAAAATTCACACCGCAATAATTGTAAAGGAAGTGTCTTTATCACCTTGCTTAAGTTATTATAATCTCATCATTATGACAATATTAGTCAGCCAACTATATGGAGGTCCCCATAACTTCACTTCCATGTATAGGAATATAGACCATATTGTTAGCAAATATTAAGTCTATAAATTGTTAGAGATGAGTTTTAACGTCAATACAAAAGGATCGTAATTAAAATGATATAAAATACATAGACATGGTTCAAGCCCCAAGTCTGGTAATTCCATACCTAAGCTTTGACAGACAGAATTGCTATCAGAAACAATGGTTTTGGGGGTTTCT